GATTGCCTGGTTGTCCTCTACATGCTGCATGAAGGCAATCATGATGATCTGCTCCATAACCTTCCCTGGCACCAAGATGAGACTGACAGTCCTGCCATTCCCCAGATCCTCCTTCTGGCCCTTCTTGTAGATGGGTGTCACACTGGCTAACCTCAAGTCAACCGGGACATCCACAGTTAGCCAGGACTGCTGGTAAATGATTGGTGAGCACTTCCACCAGGTCCCTCAGTAGCCCTGGGTGGGTCCTGTCAGGTCCCATAAATTTGTGGGTGTCTAAGTGGTGTAGCAGGTCACTAACCATTTCCCCTTGGATTACGGGGGTTTCACTCTGCTCCCTATCCCTGTCTTCCAGCTCAGAGGGCTGGGGTACCTGGAGAACAACTGGTCTTACTATAAAAGACTGAGGCAAAGAAGTAGCTCAACCTTTTACTCGTTCTTTGTCACTGTTTTCCCCCCAATCCAGTTTAAGATGAAGATTCTTCTTAGCCCTCCTTTTGTTGCGAATGTATTTATAGAAACATTTTTAATTGCCTTTTATGGCAGTAGACAGATTAAGTTCTAATTGGGCTTTGGCAATTCTAAATTTTTCCCAACATACCCTCACGATCTCTTTGTAGCCCTCCTGCATCGCCTGCCCCTTCTTCCAAAGGTCATAAACTCTCCTTTTTTTCCTGAGTTCCAGCCAAAGCTCTCTGTTCAGCCAGGCTGCTCTTCTTTCTCACCAGCTCATCTTTTGGCATGCGGGGATGGCCCACTCCTATGCCTTTAAGATTTTCTTCGTCAAGAATGTCCAGCCTTCCTGGATTTCTTTGCCCTTCAGGACTGCCTGCTAAGGGACTCTGTCAACCAGGCTCCTAAACAGCCCAAAATCAGCCTTCTGGAAATCCGAGGTAGCAGTTTCCCTGACCCCCTTCCTTACTTTCCCAAGTATATATTGCAACAAGACATGCTGTCAAGGAGGCATACTCAGGAGAAGAGACTCCATTATCATTTCCTTGACTTTGTTATCCAAAAAGAGCAAAAAGTTGTGAGATGTCATAACAGTTGACCCAATATTCACCTGGAGAAGGGACAGGATGCGATAGGGTTCCTCAACACCACTACTCGTCAACCTCTCCTGATATGTAATGCATATAGCTATGCTGCAGTAAGTAGAAATTAATCTGTTATTAAAGCATCTATAAATCTATAATAACACATAATTATTCATATCTTTTTGTTACAAATCTTACCTTCTATGATAAGGGACTGTATCACTAGAAACATCTGGTTAAAACTACTGGACTAGAAGCAAGGAAGTGCATCCCTTTACTAACTCCAAAAAGCTTTTGTTATGTATTACACTCAGAGAAATTATGTGAAGACAGGTCTAAAATGCCTTGTGTCTCTTCC